GACTCTGGCTAGGGTTAGAGAAAAACTCTGGGTAGAGCGGTACCCTCAATACCTCTAAGTGACAGCTCAGGTCATTTAAGGACGTGCCTCAGTGTGTACAATGTATGCGTGCATGTGTGTATGTGTGCTGGAGACACGGTATGTTGGTGTAATTGCCTCCTTGTGATAGCGCGGATCTGATGCCGACGTTATAGTGTTATCTCACTGAAATACCATGCCGAAGGCACCCAGTACAGCATTCCGCCTGGTCGCATGTTGTCATTCCCCGAAATGCTAATCGTTAAGCAGGGAATAACAACTACCATTTTTAAGGACTTTGTTATGTCCCGGCCTGGGGACAGAATCCATTGCCTTCCTCACCTGAGCGAACGTTCAACATTAAAGCCAAAGGTGAGGTATTGCCAATCAAGGCGCCAGGTAATAATAGGTATTTACAAAAAGAAAGAAATATAAATTCTAAATATTGCAATGGGTGCAGTAAATTTATTTTGGTCGCTTTTGTGTCCCCAAGAAGAGGACACAAAAGCAAATCTCCAATTCTGCATGGGGTTCCCTCATTAGTCGCCCGTTACGATAAATGCAGTGGGAACAGCAGGTATATTCTTTTCTGGACCCCCGACCTGCAGGGGTGATTTTGTGAAAGAAAATATTTTTTATAAAGGAATGCTTACCATTTTCTTTTTACTATTTTCACTTTGTCTTCAAAGTTGTAGCTCTTTACAAAAGGCTTAACAAAATTGATTGATTTATTGATTTACTTCCGGTTTTCTAGGCAGTGAAAAACACTTCAAAATGTTAATCACAAGACGGTAAACAATGTCCATCACTGGTTGTATATGAACTCAATTAATCCATTCATTATCACGTGTTCCTTTAGGTATCCAAATAACCTTTTGAGCATCATTTGTAAACTAAAAAGAAAACCAATCGGTGAGGAAATCTTTATTAATGCCTTATAAAGCTAGTAACGAATCTGTGTAGAGTCCGTTAATTGACTGACGTCATCAATGTGTAGAGTCCGTTAATTTACTGACGTCATCAGTGTACGTCATTACACCAGAGATGTGTACAACACATTGGTGAATGCGCGTGCCAATGTTGTTCACGTATTTCCACAGTCTTTGATTTTATAGCAGATGTCGGTTTTATATAGACCTGCTGAAATATAAATAAACATGTCAGAAAAATCAATCAACTCCCACCTATTTACCCTAACCTAGCTAGGTGTTGTATTGTGTCGCGAACTGATCGATTTCTGATGAATCCACAAACGATTTCCGTGTAATTCCAGTTAATTAGGAATGCTACAACGAGCCGCGCACCTGTCGACCCCGACCAACGCCTGGACAGTATTCGTCCCCAATATTGTTACCTTCTGTCAATAGTCACCCAGTACAGGTAATCAATCTGTCATATACAATGTATATAGGGAATTACCAATCAATCAATCAATCAATATTTTATTATAGTGTCACGCATCATAAATTCACAAACAATCATTCATAAAATATCTTATACAGCGAGTTTATAATAGATGCCCAGCCGATATCGGCTTGCACATCATGTGTAAAATGAAAGTGCAGACCTAGCATATATGCATATATAATATCCTCATAGAGTATTGCATGTACAAACTGATAGAATAGTAGAATCGCATATCTTTCTTCATTACATTACAGTTAAGTTAATATTATTTCCAGAAACCAATATATCACCTAAGGATGTGAGTTCCCTATCCCATTCGTCCTCCATTTTACAAAAACTGAGATGATTATAGAGAAGATCTTTGGTTATTAACACTGATTCTGAAATAGAACTACAATTGTTTATAGAGAAGATCTTTGGTTATTAACACTGATTCTGAAATAGAACTACAATTGTTTATAGAGAAGATCTTTGGTTATTAACACTGATTCTGAAATAGAACTACAATTGTTTATAGAGAAGATCTTTGGTTATTAACACTGATTCTGAAATAGAACTACAATTGTTTATAGAGAAGATCTTTGGTTATTAACACTGATTCTGAAATAGAACTACAATTGTTTATAGAGAAGATCTTTGGTTATTAACACTGATTCTGAAATAGAACTACAATTGTTTATAGAGAAGATCTTTGGTTATTAACACTGATTCTGAAATAGAACTACAATTGTTTATAGAGAAGATCTTTGGTTATTAACACTGATTCTGAAATAGAACTACAATTGTTTATAGAGAAGATCTTTGGTTATTAACACTGATTCTGAAATAGAACTACAATTGTTTATAGAGAAGATCTTTGGTTATTAACACTGATTCTGAAATAGAACTACAATTGTTTATAGAGAAGATCTTTGGTTATTAACACTGATTCTGAAATAGAACTACAATTGTTTATAGAGAAGATCTTTGGTTATTAACACTGATTCTGAAATAGAACTACAATTGTTTATAGAGAAGATCTTTGGTTATTAACACTGATTCTGAAATAGAACTACAATTGTTTATAGAGAAGATCTTTGGTTATTAACACTGATTCTGAAATAGAACTACAATTGTTTATAGAGAAGATCTTTGGTTATTAACACTGATTCTGAAATAGAACTACAATTGTTTATAGAGAAGATCTTTGGTTATTAACACTGATTCTGAAATAGAACTACAATTGTTTATAGAGAAGATCTTTGGTTATTAACACTGATTCTGAAATAGAACTACAATTGTTTATAGAGAAGATCTTTGGTTATTAACACTGATTCTGAAATAGAACTACAATTGTTTATAGAGAAGATCTTTGGTTATTAACACTGATTCTGAAATAGAACTACAATTGTTTATAGAGAAGATCTTTGGTTATTAACACTGATTCTGAAATAGAACTACAATTGTTTATAGAGAAGATCTTTGGTTATTAACACTGATTCTGAAATAGAACTACAATTGTTTATAGAGAAGATCTTTGGTTATTAACACTGATTCTGAAATAGAACTACAATTGTTTATAGAGAAGATCTTTGGTTATTAACACTAATTCTGAAATAGAACTACAATTGTTTATAGAGAAGATCTTTGGTTATTAACACTGATTCTGAAATAGAACTACAATAGTTTATAGAGAAGATCTTTGGTTATTAATACTGATTCTGAAATAGAACTACAATAGCTATAGTTTATAGAAAAGATCTTTGGTATTTAATACTGATTCTGAAATAGAACTACAATAGCTATAGTTTATAGAAAAGATCTTTGGTTATTAATACTGATTCTGAAATAGAACTACAATAGTTTATAAGTTCAACTACCTGATGGTATCCTCCATTGCAAGTTATGTGAAATCGATTATGAAAACATTGTATTGCTTTGGGGCAGTTTTGTCGATATGAAAAATGGTTAAAGTGTTACGTAATTAAACATATGTATATTTATTTGAGATTTAAGTACTCTTGTCACATTGCTTAAATTTTGGTCATATACAATGTATTTCATACTTATTTTTGTACATATGCGTATTTAATTACAAAGTGGCCATTCATTAACCTTACATGCATACATGTTCTTGTAACTCTCTAGATTGGAGGAAATAAAGAAATTACAATATAAATATAAGAACAAGTCCGTCTGTATTTGGAGTTTGGTGATGACGTCATACAACTATTTGCTCTACCTGTGTTGTACTGTCTGTGTACAAAGCGAACACAGGCCAGGTAGACTGTACCAGGAACTAACACGTGTATTTCTGTGCTAAACCGACACGTGTCCCAGTCATAAGGAAATACAGAATAAAAAGGCAGTGCTCCCGAAATAAGACTTTGAATTGCGTATCGTCTTAAATAAACATACTAATTTCTGACCGTGGAGTGTATCACTGTGTCAGCGAGCACTCGTGGACCACGTGGCGGTACGGTGGGGTCTATGATCGTCCGGATATTTACCCCAATGGTCACAAGTCATAGACCAGTTAGAAAGTCATTTTACATCAAAAAAGTTGTTACAGTTATAAACTATAGGGAGTAATTAGCTATTGAATAAACATTTGTTTTATACTTTTGTCTTAAGCAGGGACATGCAAAGCCATACGTCTCTGGCTTAAGTAGTACTATGCACGATGATCGCAGCTCGATTAATAAAAAAAACATGAGAAACTAGATCGGCGAATAAAATTTAGTTTCTATGATCAGAGACATATAAAGCGTCCCTGTGTGACTCAAACATATACCGAGATCTGACCTTCAATCAGAGACGTATATATACATGTATACTATACTGTCTCTGCTTCAATACAAACTGAGGGGTCACTTGAAGGACTTTGACATTTTGTCCTGGTGATTTCCATGAATCAATAGTTGATGCAATAGTTAGTGTTTCATTCAATCTCAAGACTGGATACAAAAAAAACTGGTCACGATTCCAAATAATTCATGAGAAAATTGTTGGACATCTTGGCTCCATGCGTATTCCATTTTTGTATAATTTGATCCGATCTGGTCTGTATACTTGTAAATATCGTGTACGAGTCACTAGCTCATAAAAAGCATGTATAGACAGGTATGTGTGACATATATATACACACACACAGTTCTGTCGATGTGTGACATATATACACACACAGTTCTATCGATGTGGAATACCACTTAGCCCTATATACAACTTAGGGACGTATACATGTATACGTCTCTTAATTATAAGTTACTGTTGTCCAGTTTCATCACGTGCATGGCTGGGTAGATTATATGATATCCCTCTAAATCAATAATGTACCGAGTTAACGTCGGCATCGCGCCATATTATATTTATAGTGGTGATTGTATACCCGTGTGGTATATTACCTACTCTCTCTATATATATACTGATATGCGTTTCTTTGTCTCCCCCATGTATTCAAACGTCTATACATGTTGTTTACTCCTTGTTGTCGGGCCAGACAGGTTGGTCAGTGGTTAAACTGTATCCGTTGTAAACAAGTACTTGTTTTTGTCGATACTTCAATATAATTATGATTCACGTTATTTACCAGTTCATCCAAACAAGCCTGAGCGCTGTCAGCCAATCATATCGTGCTGCGTAAATGTAAACACGCGAGTAGGGCATGTTTGGCGCAGCCGTATATTATCCCCAGGTTCATAACAAATATTTACGTTATAAAAAACATCACACAAAATACTCACATAATATGCAACAAATTTAAGGAAACAAAGATGATATGTATTTTAGTGAATTCAGATTTAAAATGTTCTATATTTTCAGGAAACATGAAGAACTATTTTTTCTCGCGGAGTGTTTCCGACCTCTGAGCGACACAACAACAAAGACTGAGTTCATTCAAATCACTGGTAAACAAGCGACGTGTTGTTGTTGTTCGAGAGAGACGACGGTAGAAGGTCTTCATCAGTCCAGAGAAATACGATAGTGAAAGATGCGTCTCCCAACTGAAATTAATAACGTCGAACCAACCGATGATGTGGTACCAGTCGATTTGGATGCCTTGATAGGAAAACTGAAGGAAAACCTGACTGTGAAATCTTGTTGTCGTGAAAAGGTAGAGCGACAACATAATGTACGCCCGTCACCATATTGTATTCCTCGCAAAACATCAACAACGCTACCTAATAGGACTTTACAACCATCAGGTGCGGCTGGAAACCTTTACAGTTCTCAGGGATTTATCAAATGCTCAAAGTGCTTTCAGAGACAATGTAAGTGCAGCTATACGGAGGGCAGTTCTATTATGATTCTCAAACAGCTACTACGCGAACAGACCTTGATTCAGGAGGCTGTCCGGCGGATACAAAGTAGGACTGATAATAACGGGGAGCACGTGCTCTTTAGACCGTGTTCTCCTGTGGGGCACGAATCGGATTGGCATAGCGAGGGGTTTACAACTCGCCATACAAGTTACGAAAGCGAAATTGGGACGCCGCTGGAATCGGACATTGACTCGTGAAACTTTGCAAATTTTAGTAACTAACAAATTGCGTGTCTGTGACGTATGCAACCAACTTCATTTGTTAGTCGTGTGTGAATGGACAGAAGCAGCACAAATTATCTCGTCTCTTAACTTCTCTGCCACCGCACTGCCGTATTGGCACGGACTTCGATCTCTTTCAATTACATGGTATTAGTGACCGGTTATCTCGTATGTATACGTCTCTGCTCCTACTTACTAAGTTAATTGAAGCCAAAGTAAACGGTATATTTCAACAGGAACAAGGAACTATTAGACTCGCCACACTATGAACAGAAAGTATATGGTTTTGTGTGGAATGTGGGATAGGCTTAACAGTGGAGGAAGTATTATTGATTACATTAAGCTATAAATAGTCGTGGATCGGACGATATATTTCTCAGGTAAACTACACCACGTAGCGGAGGGATACATGTAGTCTGGGTCGCTCAGAAGGTCGCCTGGAGATCTATGGTGACCCACATACCGCTTGTTTGTAAACACAAGTCCCAGGTCAGTGCGCACGCTCTTTGTATGTTGAAGCACCCTCGGGCGGTTCAATCTGCGACACATCGGAAAGGAAACCTGTTTCCGGTGTGATAATAAACTGGACTTGAAGAACAAAGGACTTTATTGAATCTCCACGTGACTAACGGCTCGTTATATAATATATGGGAATATTAATCGGGATGGAGTGATTTTATTATTATATTTATTTTAAAACGAACGATAGTGCTTTTAGGTTCCAATAGTACTCCTGATGAATTTACCAGTTGTAGTTTACATTGTCTTTAACTGTATACTATAAATAATGACGCTAATTTACCCAATGGTGGAGAGAGAGGTGTGACGTTATTGTGACAGGATGTTTGTGTATGTGACGGGAGGGATGTAAGGATCCAAGTAATGTGACGTTATTGTGATAATGTATGTGGTAGATTGATGGATGAGTGTGATGGTCACTAGTGGTCAGCGATACTGTCTGGTCACATGGTGCTTTGTCTCGTGATAGTATTTTTTTTTTACAATTTTGTTATACCTCATTAAAATGTGGTACAATGTAAATTATGTGTTTGTTATCTTTAGTTTTCTTTGTTTACGACCCATCTACACGGACTTGATACGGATAAAACACAGGGACATGAATGATATGAAAGCTTTATTGAAATTCGTTATAGTTACAAACGACAAAACATAAGCTCTGAGGAGCTTTTAACCGAATACATTACAACAACATGAAAACAAAATCATGCAAGCAAACTAAAAAATAGAGAAAGCACACATAAAAGTAAGCAAGCACTAAAAATGGCAGAGCAATTTATGCAAGCATATGCAATAAAAAAGGACAATAATAATACCGGCCGCCTGCTTCGAAGGCCGGAGTGTTAACCACTCGACCAATCCGCCCATAAACATAAAGGTGCCAGCTTATTAACAATTCTAAAAGTTTCAATTGCCATTGTTCGCATTCTTCTGACTTGCAGAGAAGGCATCTTCGCTTTTTCTTGCACTTTTTATATATTATTTTTAGAAGAATTGTTCTCTGTGCAAAAATGCCATGCCAAAGGGCAAAAGTTAAAATTACTTAATATGAATGAATGACAGATGGTTAATTTACTCGGTCAAATCACACGACATATGTATATGTAGACAGTTTACATTCAGTTTACAGTTTAAGCTAAAAGTCTATTCAAGCCTCTTCAAGACAAAAAAAGAAAACTATAAAGGGACTTTTATATCAACACTTGGTAACCTCCCCCGGGCACCCTCCGGTGATGTCCAACAGTCGGAAGGATAGGTCCAAACAAAGACGTATGTATCGTCTCTGGTCCTAACATGTTCCTACAATTGATTCTCGGGTCCCTGTGATATAGACCGCGTGTATAAGTACATCTCGGGTCCCTGTGAAATAGACCACGTACATCTCTGGTTCCTGTTATATAGACCACGTGTATTAGTACATCTCTGGTCCCTGTGATATAGACCACGTACATCTGGGGTCCCTGTGATATAGACCACGTGTATTAGTACATCTCGGGTCCCTGTGATATAGACCACGTGTGTTAGTACCTCTCGGGTCCCTGTGATATAGACCACGTGTATTAGTACCTCTCGATTCCCTGTGATATAGACCACGTGTATTAGTACCTCTCGGGTCCCTGTGATATAGACCGCGTGTATTAGTACCTCTCGGGTCCCCTGTGATATAGACCACGTGTATCATTAGTACATCTCTGATCAGATGTATCTTATATAATGTTCCAAATTCTCTGTTACCAGTGACGTAATATATATACACAAAACATAAATATTATACATATACATTTACACAAGGATAACGGAATAATAGATGCTATTATGTTAAAATACAAACGAATGCTGTTTTCACAGAAACACATGCCATTGGACGATTGAGGGCAGTGGCAGGCTCTTCTTCAAGATACCGCAAACAATACACGTTTATATACTGTACCGCGACTTCAATCTTCTCTACACTAAAACACAATACAATACATTGTAGATGAGATATTAAGCCACGACATGGGCGGATCGCCGAGAGCCAGATAACGGACACCTACGTACGTTATTAAGCCCAAGGGCTATGTCACCTTACCAATCAATCTATCAATGTTTTATTAGAGTGTCGGACATCGCTTGTTGTAAAGACATTGGTAAAATATCAGTACAGCGAACAGGGACCTGACCAATGGGTAAAAACCTTTAGAACTACAAGTTGCACTGTAAGTTACTTAGCCGAGTGTCATGATATTTGTCTGGTGAATATTAGGCATAGAGTGATAGAAAGTTTCCTCATAAAAATAACCTTGACTTAACTTAAAATATTCAAGCACCATTTCTGAAGAACCACAGAGTCTAGTCATACTTGGGTATGACCAGCAATGTGAACATTTTCCCTAACATATTGGGTTTAGGTCAACATTTACTACTGGCCAAGTTCAAAGGTTAACAGGGCCTGTATTTGGTAAAGGCTGTAAGAATTTCCCCCTAAGTTCCATAAGGCCCAGGGTCATGATTGGTAGGGCGAAGCCTTTATTTCTTAGTCATTGGAAAGAACTTTGATATGGTTGGTATACCCATTTAGTAACAGGTTACAATATTATATATATATACTTGCCTGGCATGAAGTATACAACACAAGCATGCTGTCATTTAGCTTGGGTCAGGCTTTACCGTTTGGTTTCTCGGGATTCCGTTCTGACCATTACATTGAAAATATTGAGACTTCAATCCAATCCTTTAACTTCTTACACATACAAACACACATGGATTTCAATCAGATTTGCTATTATGAATAACCCTTTGATCCAGGCACGTGTCAAAAATAGGGAAACATTTGCAATGCTACTTTTAATAGAATATTTGATCACGATTATTTAAATAACCCGATAAACGATACAGGTCCCTCTTGTTTTACCTTAGCATATAAATGTATTTCCTGTCTAAACCCCTAAAGCTTTACTCTCTACACATCGGGACCAAACATTATGTCAAACCAACTCTAACAACTGTTTAGGTCCCTGTGCGCTACACGTGTAAAAATGAATGCACTGCCAAAGGTCCCGATTAGGTTTTTCTAGGAAGACAACTCTCATCCAGATCAAAATGATTGTCAAATGTAAAATAAATGAAACAGAAAGAAATAAGTGTAGAATTATTAATTGTTTTTGCTCTCTTTGTATGGAATTTTGTGTCCTGTTTGCTTTTAGCTTGTAGATGATCATATTTATCCATACAGTTTCAATAATACACATATGCTATACTGATACGGGTCACAACATACATGTGTGTTGTGACCCGTATCAGTATAGCATATGTGTATTTCAGACATTTGTAACGTGACCATGTGCTTAGAGTTTTATAAAAAAAAAAACCGTCTCTGCATAGTTGCATAAACATTGGGTTAAACGTTCAAAGAATTCTGCTGGTTAATTCCAAAAGGATGGAGTCTCTTTGACCGATCTTTATTAAGCTATGGAGAAATATTTTGCACCCCGTCGTCGGTGTGACGTTACCGTGCGCCAATAGGAACTGCTGCTAAACGTTTTACTTGGAGCAATACACACTACAGCACCCTGTGTCTGGGGTATCATAAACACGACAACACCCTGTATCTGGGGTATCATTAACACTACAGCACCCTGTATCTGGGGTATCATTAACACTACAGCACCCTGTGTCTGGGGTATCATTAACACGACAACACCCTGTATCTGGGGTATCATTAACACTACAGCACCCAGTATCTGGGGTATCATTCTGTCACACAGCACTCTGTCCTGTATCTGGGGTATCAGTAACACTACAGCACCCTGTATATGGGGTATCAATAACACTGCAGCACGCTGTATCTGGGGTATCAGTAACACTACACCACCCTGTCTCTGGGGTATCATTAACACTACAGCACCCTGTATCTGGGGTATCAATAACACTACAGCACCCTGTATCTGGGGTATCATTAACACTACACCACCCTGTATCTGGGGTATCATTAACACTACAGCACTCTGTATCTGGGGTATCATTAACACTGCAGCACGCTGTATCTGGGGTATCATTAACACTACAACACCCTGTATCTGGGGCATCATTAACACTACAACACCCTGTATCAGGGGTATCATTAACACTACAGCACTCTTTATCTGGGGTATCATTAACACTGCAGCACGCTGTATCTGGGGTATAATTAACACTACAACACCCTGTATCTGGGGAATCATTAAAACTACAGCACCCTGTATCTGGGGGATCATTAACACTATAACAGTCTGTATCTGGGGTATCATTAACGCTACAACACCCTGTATCTGGGGTATCATTAAAACTACAGCACCCTGTATCTGGGGTATCAATAACACTACAGCACCCTGTGTCTGGGGTATCATTAACACTACACCACCCTGTCTCTGGGGTATCATTAACACTACAGCACACTGTATCTGGGGTATCAATAACACTACAGCAACCTGTATCTGGGGTATCATTAACACTAAAACAGTCTGTATCTGGGGTATCATTAACACTACACCACCCTGTATCTGGGGTATCAATAACACTACAGCAACCTGTATCTGGGGTATCATTAACACTACAACACCCTGCATCTGGGGAATCATTAACACTACAACACCCTGTATCAGGGGTATCATTAACACTACAGCACTCTGCATCTGGGGTATCATTAACACTGCAGCACTCTGTATCTGGGGTATCATTAAAACTACAGCACCCTGTATCTGGGGTATCATTAAAGCTACAGCACCCTGTATCTGGGGTATCATTAAAGCTACAGCACCCTGTATCTGGGGTATCATTAAAGCTACAGCACCCTGTATCTGGGGTATCATTAAAGCTACAGCACCCTGTATCTGGGGTATCATTTACACTACAACACCCTGTATCTGGGGTATCATTAACACTACAACACTCTGTATCTGGGGTATCATTAACACTACAACACTCTGTATCTTGGGTATCATTAACACTACAGCACCCTGTATCTGGGGGTATCATTAACACGACAGCACCCTGTATCTGGGGTATCATAAACACTACAGCACCCTGTATCTGGGGTATCATTAACACTACAACACCCTGTATCTGGGGTATCATTCTGTCACACAGCACTCTGTATCTTGGGTATCATTCTGTCACGCAGCACTCTGTATCTGGGGTATCATTCTGTCACACAGCACTCTGTATCTTGGGTATCATTCTGTCACGCAGCACTCTGTATCTGGGGTATCATTCTGTCACACAACACCCTGTATCTTGGGTATCATTCTGTCACACAGCACCCTGTATCTGGGGTATCATTCTGTCATACACCACTCTGTATCTGGGGTATCATTCTGTCACACAACACTCTGTATCTGGGGTATCATTCTGTCATACAGCACTCTGTATCTGGGGTATCATTCTGTCACACAGCACTCTGTATCTGAGGTATCATTCTGTCATGCTTAGTCGATATTACACCATTAACTCATTCAACTATTTCATATGGTCATCATTACTTTAAAATACATGCCGCTTCTCAA